TGGTCTCAACATTGCAGTCCTTGAAGATAGTCTTACTTTTAGTATGATTAGTACAGTTCACACTATCATCTAGAATACGTATTGTAACAAGATTCGCAGTAAAATTGTTTGGCGACGTTTCACTTGGCTCATAAGTAATTAACCCGTTTGTCCTTTCAGGCACCAGGTAGATATTGCAGCTGGTTCCTTTAACTGAAACGAGCAGCGCTGAAAACACACTCAGCAACACCAAAACAGACTTGACAAACATGTTTGATAGCTTCGTTTTTTTACGGAGAAATCTGCAGCTTGCCTTTTGAAAAATCTTATCGTTTTTTCCAAATCGGTGGCCTTATTTATACACTTTGTGAAACAACTGTGATTAACGCCTAAAGGTTTAACCCACGAGAAATCGTTCGGGCCAATGGTTTTACGTCAAAGGCTTCTTTCACTTAGATTTTTATTATTATATTATTCCCCAAAATCTTTTTTGAAGTTCCTTGTAGAATTGCGATAAATATTTACTTTAATTTCACTTTAGGATTAACTTGTTATGAACCTAGAACCGAAACAGGAAAATATCAGACCACACACTAATTGACACAATCTATAATATTTGACTTACATGAACGTATATGACCAGGGGCGGGTTGTTCAAAGTTAGTAAAGTTAGTAGGGCTAAAACTGAGTTAAAATTTATAACCCTCTGTTTTGGTTTGGGTTTATCTTTATTTACATTTATTTCAAAAGTTTAGAACTAGCTTCTGTTAATCAAGACAAGATTTCAGGAAAAATATCTCCATGTCCGTACAAATAGACTATCGGAAGATTACATTGAATATTAGACTAAGTAACCAGGTTTTGGTAAACTGCCCTGCGGCCGGTTGTATAAAACTCTTAATCACTTTTTTATAATCACTATTTCGTAGTTAACTTGTGATTAACTCTCACTTAGGCGTTTCTTATTGGATGACATTTCCACTTAACTATATGATTAACTTTAATCATTTTTTTATACAACCGACCCCAGGTGTTTAAATAATAGTATATATAGTCTTGTTATGCGAGTGCTAAAAGTATCAATTTTATCTGAAATGCATGCATGTACTATTTATTCTTTTACTCATATTAAATACTAGATAATTGCTATTTTCGCACAAGGAATTTGCTTTTGGCTTTCTTAAAAGAAAATTAACTTTAATTAATATTAGTCATTTCATCATATTTACATAAAGCAAGTTTTGTCGAACTCAAATTCTACATGACATAAAACTGATGTTTCTCAGCAAATGCACAAGGAAAGCCTATATACTTCCATAGTAAACAATCAAATTAAACTAGAAGGAAAGTCCGAGACGTTCTCTGTTTTAAAATACTTAATATTTTATACTTTGCAGGCCTACGTTAAAAATAGAAATCACAAAATATAAAAGTTCCCAAATTGTGTGGTAGGTGGTGGCGGCATCGCTTTTGAAGTATTTTGTCCTGCTGTTTTGGTATAGCTTCCTCCGCAGTAGAGATGAATGCGGAGGAGGCTAGTTTCAGTAGTTCTTTGATGTTGACGTACGCGTCTTTCATTTTAGCCGTATGTCATTATTTAATTAAATTTTTCTTTTGTAAAGACCCCTGTTCATATAGCAAATTATTGAAGAATTTTGTTGATGAAAGTTTCGAGTGTTAATTTTATACATGCTTGATCTAACTATAGGAGCAGCTGCTTTTTTTCTTATCTTTTAACATTAATTCATCTTTGTTTCGAAACATCTCCAGCATCCAACATACGGTTCCATGCAGGTGTAATCTGAACAGGCATGTTGAAAATGACGTAGGCCGGTTTAATTGTATATATGTGGTTCGTATCTAGGCGACTCGTATCTAGGCGACGCAAAATAATTGTTACAACCTGAAACTTTGTCGTGTTTTCATAATGTCCCAACTGAGTTTGTGCTAATCCAATTAATGTATATGAGTTCGATACCATCTCATGTCAGTTGAAATGCTACATACCTAATAATAAAAATCATGCATGTATTCAGAAAATATCTGAACTCCCAATGGGAATCCGAACCCGTGTCTTCCGATTGCCGGTTCGGTTGCTTTACCACTAGACTATAGGGTTTCAGACAGCAAAGCGATTCAAAGAAATCGGAAGACTATTGATGTTAAATATCCAACCGGACCACAACTTTAATAAATTTCAGAGAGCTTGCATGTAACAATTTCACAATATATCCATGAAGAAATGCAAGTGAAGTAAGCATTAGCTGTTTTCATTAGTTTAATTATTTAGTTTCTCAGTATAGAACACATGTTGATAGCGGTTAGTTTATTGTATTGTTTATCCTCTGTAAAAATTCTTAAAATTGAAGTTAGAAGAATGCAAGGACTTTCTAGAATCAAGTAATGTAAATATCCACAAACTAAAGCATGAAGGTTTTTCAAGACCTAAAATTTTTGTTGTCAAATTCAAGGACATTCATATTTTGTACCAAACCTGGAAAACTCTAGAATCATGCCCCCCCCCCCGCAACAAAGACACCTGCGATCGACAACAACAAAACAGCACACGATTCATGTTCGCGATACCGCCACCACCCACACCTCATTTTACAAACCCTTTTTATAATTCTGTAACCACCAATATCTGTTAGGCCTGCGTTTAGCACTATGAATAGAACAGACAAAGAACATGTTAAAATATTTAATATGCCACGTATACTTATGTTTTTATTGCTTTCACTTTTATTTGCCGGACAGACATGTTTATAAGGCCAATAAAAAAATAGTAGTTTCTCGTCCCCGCCCGCATCCTTTTTACCTGCCGCATGGATATTTTTTATTTTTTTTATATTCGAGCCTTTTAAAGAATTTCCACTTACATTTTTTGGGCATATTGCTCCTTTCGGCATAGTTCCGTTGCCGTTCGGAACTTTTCGTCAACTCTCACTTGCTGTTCGGTACTTCGCGTCGCTGTTCGTGCATATTGTTATTTTCAGTTGGCGCCATATTGCATTATAGTAGCTGTTTGTCTATTTTATTATAAATTTACGTTTTATGAGTAAACTTCAATATTTGCGTGTGTTTATAGGTTTTTTGGTAAACTTTAAGAGCAATATTTGAAGGTTTAACAGAAAAAAGCAAGCGCCCGCGTTCTCCTTTTTTTTCAAAATTCAGCCGAGAAACTACTATTTTTTTTACTTGGACTAAAATGCATGCATGCAGGCACAGTGATGTAGGATTGTAATTATTTTGAAAAAATATTTTAAATTTGACTCCACTCCAATAATTGTCACCTGGAATGTTAATTGCATTAAGCTTGCTACAAGCTTGTTCCGTCAACACATTGTTAGTCTTGTTAGTTAATTAACTAATACCATATATTTACAGAGGGGAAGGAACAATATTTACATAATTACCACTAAGGCATATACTCTTCTCCATGTCCCTCATATATGACTGCATCCACATGTTTTATGACCTGTTACCAAAGCATTGACAAAGCACAATATGTTTGCATTTTAGCGCAGGAAAATTTTAATTTATTTACATTGTTGTAATTTGTTGAGAAAGAACTCTTTAAGTTTTTTATTGTAAAAGACGAAACTTTTCAATATAATTTTTGGATCATGATCAGTAGGTAAAGGTACATGGTATAAGTCCGTATAACTTCCTTCGCAGTAGAGATATGCCGGCTGCATGCGGAGGAAGTCAATCTGGGCAATTCTTTCATGTTGTCGTGCGCGTCTTTCGTCCTAGCCGTATGTCATTATTCAATTAATTTTTTTTGTAAAGACTCCTGTGCCGTATAGCTCTTAAACTAATTATTGAAGAATTTCGTTGATGTAAGTTTCGACTGTGTTAATTTTATACTTTGCTTGATCTAACTAGGAGCAGCTGCTTTTTATACCAATCTTATATTTTAACATTCATCCTTGTTTGAAAACATCTGCAATACCCAGCATAGTTCCAGGTTTAATCTAAACGTGGAACTATGTAAATGACGTGGGTTTGTATAATATATGTGGTTCGTATCTAGGCGACGCAAAATAATTGCTACAATGTTTTCTGTGCATGGTTTGTTGCAACCACAAAGGTCGTGTTTTCATAATGTCCCAATTGAGCGGTTTGTGTTAATCCATTAACGTATATGATTTCAATACCATCCGGATCATCTCATTTGAAATCTTAGATACCTAATAAAATCAGTAAAACATCCCTGAAACTCCATATAAATGTATCGTATTTTGACTTACAAAATTCCATATAAGCCACATTTCAAAATACATTGTCCTCCCACACTCGTTTTATTGTATTTAATTATTTCAGAAAAAAATTGTGTGAATGAGCACCATGCTTTTCTTGGCGCCGCATTGAACACAAAGTTAAGAGGTAGGCTATTCTTGGTTGGGGTGTTCTTATAAAAGAGCCTGCGTGTACGAATCCATTCAAGACCCCTAGTAAATGTTTTTATGTGACTAAAATGACTAAATTAAGCTTTCACACCAGGAAATGTATAGTGTTATTATATCGGTAGAGAGTGAGATACTGAGAAATACACAATGACATATTTTCCATATCTTCACTAGTGAAGATATCGATCACTAGTATTTATACAATTTTACGCTTGGCACTATATAATTTAAATTTAATCTATTAATGCTAAATAACTGTCGTCTTAATATCAAAATAACTATTTGACTGCGTATCCACGTATCTGCTTATCCACTAAAATATAGATATACCGTAGAGCTACCTATAGCACAAGAATTTGATCTAATGCTAATCTAATGCTAATCTAATGTAGATATAGAGCTACCTATAGCACGAGAATTTGATCTAATGCTAATCTCTGGAGTTTTAGTAAAAGTCCCCCGGGCTACGCCCTCGGCACTTTTACTAAACCTCCCTCGGTTTGCGGGGACATTTAATCACTAATTTCCCTCAAAGCATGCGTTTACTTATAATAATACCCTCCCAACGGGAATCCGAACCCGTGTCTCAAGCCCCGTTTACACTACGCTCAATTTTTGGTACGGCACGGATAAAATTGGTACCCGTACCACTTTTTTGGTTCTTGGACTACCTATTTAGGCAGTCCAAGAACCAAAAAGTGGTACGGTACCAAAAATTGAACGTAGTGTAAACGGGGCTTAGCTAAATAGGTAGTCCAAGAACAAAAAAAGTGGTACGGGTACCAATTTCATCCGTGCCGTACCAAAAATTGAGCGTAGTGTAAACGGGGCTTCAGTTCCGATTGCTGGTTCGGTTGCTTTGTACCACTATAGACTATCAAAGAAATCAGAAGAATTGATGTTAAATATCCAACCACAACATATTCATCAATTTGTACATAGTTAGCTACCACATGAAGAAAAGCAAGTGAAGTAAGCATTTGCTAATTCATTAGTTGATTAATTAGTTTGTTAGTTTAGAACACATGTTGATAGTTACTTTACTGAATTGTTCATCCTCTGTAAAAATTCTTAATTAAAGCAAGAAAAATTCAAGGACTTTCAAGAATCAAGGACAAGGACTTTCAAGTGATGCAAATATCAATAAAATAAAGCATGCAAGAATTAAGTGTTCAAGGTTTTTCAAGGCCTTGATTTTTTGTTTTCAAGTTCAAGAGCTTTCAAGGACACTCAAGTTTTGTACAAAACCTGGAAAACTCTAGAATCATGGCACACCCCCGAAACAAAGGACAGCTACGTCGACAACAACAAAGCAGCACACAATTCTTGTTCAAAGGCGATACTAGCCTGCGAACAGGCTCACTGGGAGAAAGGTGAGCCTGCACGGAACCATGCGTTTTATTCAATCATCCCCTTTTCGCATCTGCTAAACGTTAACCAATCAGCGTCGACTGCGATAAATAAACTGTCAACTGTCAAATTGACGCAAGG